CGCTTCCCGGGCCCGCCCGCGTGCATTTTTTTTTTTTTTCAAAAAAAATTTTGTATTAATTTTTTTTTTTTTTTTTTTTACCCTTCGTTGTTTTCAACTGTCGGGCGTTTGGGGAATGCTGTGTTTTCCCTTCGGTTTCAATGTTCTCCAAACTCCCTTCCCCCTCGGCACCTGCCAGATCGATGAGTTCTACGTGGGCCCGGTGCCTCCGAAGCAGGTGACATTTGCCAAGCTGAATGATAACATCCGAGAAAACTTCCTGAGGGACATGTGCAAGAAGTATGGAGAGGTGGAGGAGGTGGAGATTCTGTACAACCCCAAGACCAAGAAGCACCTGGGTATTGCTAAGGTGGTCTTCGCCACCGTCAGGGGGGCCAAGGAGGCGGTCCAGCACTTGCACAGCACTTCCGTCATGGGCAACATCATCCACGTGGAGCTGGACACCAAAGGTGAGTGCGCGCCCGGGAGGGGAGGGGCCACAGAGACCTGTCACTGCCCTCACTGCCACTCCTGTGCCTCTGGGGGTCCCCCCTGCAGCGTCTGGAGGCCTCCCCGCCTCAATCTTCTCTGGGATTCACCCCCCCACACAACTTATTTATTTGTTGGCCCCCTCCTGAGGGTAGAGTCACATGGAGCTAAAGCTGTTGTCTGTTGCTAGGAGACGAGCTATAATTTACCAAATGTGCTGGTGCTTGGCCACTGCACCCCTAGGGACCCCCCCCCAGGCTTCCCCACCACAGGCCCCCCTCACCAGGGCTCAGACAGTCCCCAGTGTTGCTGTCTGTGTGAGGGGAGGAGGCAGAGTTTGATGATGGGAGGGGGTGCTGAGGATGAGCCACTAGGACGCCCTCAAAGTCAGAAAGAGAGGGTTCCTCTGCTGAAACGTGAGGCCTCTGGGGCCCCGGCAGCCCCCCATTCCCCCTGCTGCCCCATCCCCCTGGAAGCGGGACCCAGCCTGTGCCCAGGGGGCCGGGGAGCTGTGAGCCAGTCAGGCTGCGTGGGGCTGTGCTGGGTGCTCTGCTCGGGGCTGACACTGTGTCTTCCCTCCTCGCTCTTAAAGAGACCGCGCACCTCCCCGCACCAGTCGATTGGCTTGGTGCACACTACTGAGCCAGCTTTGGGAGAGCCAGGCTGGGGAGACCACGCTCCCCGCCAGGGTCTGCAAGGCTCTTCTGGGAGGCTGGCTGGAGGGGTGGGCAGCCCTAGAGGGCATCCCCCAGGGTCGTCCTGAGGAAGCCCCCAACGTTATTACTATAAAAGAAGTGGCTGGCTGCTGTGGGACAAGCCTGCCCTGTGGGTGGACCCTGCTAGGTCCAGAGCCCACTGGTGCTCCCTGGGAACCCTTGGTGGGGAGGGGCTTGGGTGCAGCTGCCAGCGGGTTTGTCGGTGCAAGGTTTAGAAACAGGTGGGGCACACCAAACCCAAGGCAGGGAAAGGTAAACTTTTATTAGCTTTTGAGTATGAATGAGTGTTAGTGAGAGTCTAGGACCGTGCCAGGGGTGGAGAAGGGGCTGTCCGGTCCTGAGTAGGCGTGGTCTCGCACGCACTTGCACAGGGGCTCACAGACTCAGTCCATTCCGCAGTCCCTACCCCTCCTTCTCCCGGCGTCTCAACCTCTGGGGGAGGAGTGGGGCCCCTTTAAGTGTATGTACCCCTTTGGGTGACTGCAGTCTGAATGCACCCTGAAAACGGATGGTGGAGCCCCTCCCCTCTCAGAGGTCCTTGTACTGACAGCCAGCTCTCACCAAAGCGTCATTTCTGGGGAGGAGAACCCCGCCCCCCAGGGACTACCAGCTGAATAGTTTGTATTTCAAGAAGGAGCCCAGTAAACTGTAAAGTGTAGCTCCAGGAATGTGTCTCCTTTGCATATGCAGGCAGCTGTCTCTGAGGCTCTGTAAATACCCGTAACCTGGGCCCCCTCTCTATAAAGGCTCAGAGGGCCAGGCCCCAGGCACTTCACCAGAGTGTCCTGTGCTGTGCAGACTGCTGGTCACAGACTTCCCCTCTGTGTCCCCATGCTCCTCTGCTCCCTGCTGCGAACCTCTGGCTGTTAAAGGACAGGGAAACCGGACTGTTAGAGCCCCATGGCCCAGGTCGCGGGGCGGGGTGGGGGGGACTTCGTTCTGGACTTGGTGACGTCCCAGCCCTACGAGGCTCTCCATTCTAATTTTTAACGTCAGAAAAATGGAGTTTAGCAGCTTTCTTGAATAGACGGGGATCCTGAGCCAGGAGCCAAGGGGGCAGGATCTTGGCCGGGGTCACAGAGCTTCCTCAGGTCCCTGGGGTCTCCGACACAAGGGACTCCGGAGGATGCTGGACAGGTTGGAATCCCAATGGGCTGCCCCGTCCTGGAGCCCCACTGAGTCCCCCTCCTTTGCCTTTCCACAGGGGAGACCCGCATGCGGTTCTATGAACTGCTGGTCACGGGCCGGTACACCCCCCAGACCCTCCCCGTGGGCGAGCTGGACGCTGTCTCTCCCATCGTGACCGAGACCCTGCAGGTGGGTTTGGCCCGTCCCAGTGTGCTCCCCCCTCCCTCCCTCCACCTCGGGAAAGCCTCACCAACTCGGGGCACCTCACAGCTCTGGCTTTTGGAGGGCTACCCCACATCCTCAGCGGGGACTTCAAGTCCTGTCTTCCCACCTCCCCTGGGACTGCTGGTCCTGCTCCCTGTGGCTTCCAGAGCCCTCCCTCCCGCTGTCTGGAGCAGGCACTGCTGTGGGCAGAGCCCTTGTGTCTCAAGCCCTGTCCTGAGGAAGACTGCAGGCCCCTTCCAGGACACAGCTGACCCCTTCCCAGACCGCCGCCTCCCGGGACGTTCACCTGGCCACTCCGCGTGGGGAGCGTCTCGCCCTGGTGCCGGCCAGCTGGGGAGCTCTGCTCACCTGCGTGGGGCTCAGCTGACTTGTCCATCACACACCATTTAAACCTCAAACAGGGACATCAGGAAGCAGAGCAAAGCCCTGGGCCCCTGCTTACGGCCAAGACCGTAGTTCCTGGTCGCGCCCCTGCCTGGAAGGTCTTTGATTTCTTGAGGCAGATAGGAAATCCCCACTTATAGCAAAGGGTCAGGGTCTTCTCCCTTCTTGGCCTCCGGGATTAGCATTGACTTTCAAGTTCCCTGAGGGTAACTGGCCACTCCTGAGAGTAAAGTTAGGACCATCCCGACACTCTTCCTCCATCTCTGCCCTGTCCTGACCACATGCTGTGGTTCTAGAGCGCATTGCCTCTGAGCTTCCCAGTAGCCAGAGAGAGAAGTGAAAGCAGTCCTCTTTCCCCTAGCGAGCTCACCTCACTGTTTCTCCCTGTAGCTGTCAGACGCCCTGAAGCGCCTCAAGGATGGCAGCCTGTCTGTGGGCTGTGGTTCTGGCTCCTCCTCCGTGACCCCCACCAGCGGCGGGACACCCTTCTCCCAGGACACGGCTTACTCCAGCTGCCGCCTGGACACACCCAACTCCTACGGACAGGGCACCCCTCTCACACCGCGCCTAGGCACCCCCTTCTCGCAGGACTCCAGCTACTCCAGCCGCCAGCCCACACCCTCCTACCTCTTCAGCCAGGACCCCACAACGACTTTCAAGGCCCGGCGCCATGAGAGCAAGTTCACGGACGCCTACAACCGCCGCCATGAGCATCATTATGTGCACAATTCTGCAGCCACCGCGGTGGCCGGGACCACGGCCTCCTTCCGGGGCTCTTCCGACCTCCCTTTCGGGGCAGTGGGAAGCAGTGGGGGCAGCAGTGGCCCCCCCTTCAAGGCCCAGCCACAAGATTCGGCCACGTTTGCCCACACACCACCTCCTGCCCAAGCTGCTCCTGCTCCCGGATTCAAATCGGCGTTCTCTCCGTATCAGACCCCGGCGCCTCCCTTTCCTCCACCCCCCGAGGAGCCCACCGCCACAGCCACCTTTGGGACCCGTGACAGCGGAGAGTTCCGGAGGGCTCCTGTGCCCCCACCCCTGCCACCCTCGGAGCCCCCCGCCAAGGAGAAGCCAGGCACGCCACCCGGCCCCCCACCCCCTGACACCAACAGCATGGAGCTGGGCGGCCGGCCCACCTTTGGCTGGAGTCCTGAGCCCTGTGACAGCCCCGGCACCCCCACGCTGGAGTCGTCCCCCGCAGGCCCCGAGAAGCCGCACGACAGCCTGGACTCGCGCATCGAGATGTTGCTGAAGGAGCAGCGCACCAAGCTGCCCTTCCTGCGGGAGCAGGACTCGGACACGGAGCTGCAGATGGAGGGCAGCCCCATCTCCTCCTCCTCTTCCCAGCTCTCGCCGCTGGCCCCCTTTGGCACCAACTCCCAGCCCGGCTTCCGGGGCCCCACCCCACCCTCCTCGCGCCCCTCCAGCACCGGCCTGGAGGACATCAGTCCCACACCACTGCCTGACTCTGACGATGATGACGAGCTGGACCTGGGCCTGGGGCCACGGCCCCCACCTGAGCCGGGCCCCCCGGACCCTGCTGGTCGCCTGGGCCAGACGGCTGAGGTGGCCTTGGACCTGGCAGGAGACAGGACCCCAACTTCAGAGAAGATGGATGAGGTACCCCCTTGTCTGTCCGTTTGTCCGCAGTTGTTCTGTCCGTTTTCTGTCCACCATGTTTAGGGTGAGGGTCTGAAGCAGCAGGGCTGGGGAAGCCAGCGTGACAGGCGGACGGAGGGAGGGAAAGGAAGATGGACAGAGCTCGGAGGGCTGTGCCCAAGCAGCTGCTTTGGCTCTGAGCTCCCTAACAGCCCTGGGGAGAAGCAAGGCGTGGTCTAGTCTTGTGGCTCTCCTTGTTGGGTCAGGGGACTTAGGACTTTTCCTCGGGATAAACCCCCCTCGAGCTGCTCTGGTGGGTATGGGCTGCGGTGAGAGTTATGGAATCCCCCCTTCTCTGTGGGAATTTCAACCATGGGGGCATCAGGGCTGGTCTCAATGCTCAGGTACATGGGGCCAGAGAGACCGGCCAGGGGGCTATGCTGGGCCAGGCCTGGTGCCCTCTGCAGAAATGGAAAACCAGGCAGGGAGGGCCCTGAGGTGCCCCTTCTCCTCCTGGCTGCGGCAGTGGGGGAGCGAAGGGCTGGCTTGCAGGGGGCCGTCCTGTCCACCCCCAGCCCCTTTCCGGTGCTGCCCTCCTCCAGCCTCGGGAGGTCCCCTTGGGGAGGCTTAAGTCGCCTTGCTTGGCCTCTGCCCCTCCTCCTCCTGGTCCATGACAGGCCCTGCCGACACCTGCTCTGGAGCCCCTGGACCCTGCCGGCAGGAGCAGCCAGGGGGCTTGGTGCCTCTGTGGGTGGAGGGGGGGCTCCCTTCTTCCTGAGCCTTTGACTGGGCCATGTGGCCGCCTCAGGGAGGAACAGAGAGGAACTTGGCCTGCCCGGGAGGGTGCCACAGGTGGCTGGGCTACAGGGGGCCTCCAGGCACTTCTGGGGAAGTGGTCCAGGCAGGGGGAGCTGACAGGTGTGCAAAGGGTGGGGCTGCCGACCCTGTCCCCTTCCCTCTCGGCCGCCTGGGGTTGGGACCTTTACCATGAGCAGCTGGTCCAGTGCTGAGAAGCCCAGCGCTGCCAGTAGCCGCTGGAGGGAAAGGGAGAACGAGGGAGGCCCTTGACAGCCTGTGTCTGGGAGCTTCAGGACTCAGAGCAAGGGAGACCTCCAGCCTGGCCACGGGAGCCCCCTGCTGGCGGCCAGGAGAGCAGCACCTGGACTCCCTGCTCGCTAGGGCTGAGCGTGGGAGCGCGCGGTACCCACAGAGGTAGCCCAGGTTGAGGTCGGAGCAGGGGCGCAACGCAGGACGGACCAGTGATGGGAAGGGGGCCAGTGCCTTCTTCACAGAGGCCACGGGTTAGCAGCGCAGACTTCCAGCTCTGCCACTTAGCTGGTTGTGTGACCTTGGGGAAGGCACTTTCCTTGAGTCTCAGTTTCATCATCTGTGAAATGGGCCAGTGAGTGCAGCTGTCTCACAGTCTCGCAGTAGGTGCTGTGCTTTCCTGGAAGCTCCAGGCGTCGCCGGACCTTTCAGAGCTCTGCTCTGGCCTACGGTTCTCACCCCAGCGGCCCGAGGGGCGGGGCGGGCCCTGGGCTGGCCCAGGGCTGCGGCTCCCTGTGATTGGCTGGCATCAGCGGCCTGGGTTAACCCTCTGTGTGCTGCGTCCTGCCTCACTTGGTGCTGTCCAGGACTGGGGCGTTCTTTCTGAGTTTTGGGCCCATTGTGCCTGTCCCTGCTTCCTATATCCGGGGGACCCTGAGAGGGAGAGCCTGTAATGTGTGCGTGTGTGTGTGTGTGTGTGCGTGTGTGCGCAGGCGTGTAGCGCAGACCTAATAAAACCCGGAGTTCCCTGCTGCAGCTACAGGCTTAATGTGCCTCCTCTCCCCAGCCCAGTCTCCCTTTGAGGCCCTGGCCTTGCAGCCTGCAGAACTGCCCCTGAACCTCCACTCACACGAGCTGACTCCGTGCCAGGGGCATCTGTCCATCCAGGGCAGGGTATGAGCGCTCGAGGGTCTGGGGGTGGCACAGCCCCCCAGACCGCCCCTGGCTGCACCTTGCCCAGGAGGAGCCTGCCCCCAGTTCCGAGGTCAGGGGCCCTTGCCCATTTTAGGCGTGAGGTCATCCTGGGCCCTCCTTCTCTGGACTCTAACAGCAGCCCGTCACTGGGCAGGGGTCCTGGGTGTGAGTCTCAGTCCTATTTAAAGTTATATGTTTTATTTGACGGGCAGAGAGAGAGATCCTCCATCTGTTGACTCACTGCCCGAATGCCCTCTGTGTCCAGGATTGGGCCAGGTCAAAGCAAGTGGCAGGGACCCAAGTGCCTGCTGCCTCTCAGGGTGCACATTAGCAAGAAGCTGGGTCAGAAGGGGGCACAGGCCTTGAACCAGGCACTCCTGTGTGGGAAGTGGGTGTCCCAAGCCATGGCTTAGCCACTGTGCCACACTTCCCCTCGGCCCTGCATCTTTTTTTTTTTTTTTTTTTAACATTATTTATTTATTTGAGAGGCAGAGTTACAGAGAGGGAAGACAGAGAACCATCTTCCATCTGCTGGTTCAGTCTCCAAATTGTTGGCAATGGCCAGAGCTGGGCCAGTCCCAAGCCAAGAGCCAGTAGCTTCTTCCCGGTCTGCCGTGTGGGTAGCCGGGGCTGGAGCACTTGGGCCATCCTCCGCTGCTTTCCCAGGCGCATTAACAGGGAGATGGGTTGGAAGAGGAGCAGCCGGGACTTGAACTGGCAACCCATATGGGGTGCTGGGCTGCAGACAGAGGCTGTACCCACTAAGCCACAGTGCCAGCCCCCTCGGCCTGTGTCTCACCTGTCAGGAGGGATGGTAGAGCACGCCACCTTGTGAGGCTCCTGCGCAGACAGTAAACTGTGTGCAGCTCTGAGCCACTCAGCACCCACACTCAGCGCCCCCCCAGCAGAGCAGGTGAACAGAACAACAGTGGAAACTAAAAACCCACCTGCTGCCTGTGCACTGGAGGTGTTGTCGGGGCGGCAGGGCCTGACGGGGAGCCGCTGCCTGGCGCCCTGTCTTGCTGGCTGAGTTAACTCTCCCTGTCCCAGCATCCTTACTGGTATGAAGGAAGGTCACAGACCGACCGCAGGGTGCTTGTGACGACTGAGCCCCAGTGGGGAGGTGGTGGGCAGGCTTGGGGGGAGGCAGCCTGGGGAGTGCGACTGGTGGTCTTCTCCAAACGCCAGTGGAAACAGAACCCCCCTCCCGGGGCCCACCCTCCCTCTCCCTGCTTTCCCACTATCCTCTGCCTCTTCCTTGTGGGGAGCAAGGCTCTCCCGGTCACCTCTGACCCTGGCACCTGCACCCAGCGCGCACAAGGTGCTGAGCCAGTGTTTGTTGACCGAGTGAATGGCTGTGTGCATGCTCAGGGAACGCGAGCAGGTACCATGCTGCCCGCGGTGAGGCTCGAAGGCCTGGAGGGACTTGGCGGGGGTCCGGCCTGGGAAGCCAGGCGGCCGCCCCCAGCCACCCATTCTCTGCTCTCTCTTCAGGGCCAGCAGTCCTCCGGCGAGGACATGGAAATCTCTGATGACGAGATGCCCTCGGCCCCCATCACCAGCGCCGACTGCCCCAAGCCCATGGTGGTGACCCCAGCGGCTGCGGCGGTGGCGGCCCCCTCGGTGCTGGCCGCGAGCCTGCCGCTGCCCCGTCG